TATCTCAATACTCAGCTAAAAATATCCACAAAGCTGTCTGCAGGTGAAGTAAATTGGCATGGCTCTGCTGGGTTCAGTGAGGCCAAGTCAATTCCAGTTGCAGTGGTGCTTAAGTAGTAATTTTAAAACGGTTCAGACTGTTTAGCAAACTGTAGCTAATATTGTTCAGATGGCATAGTATTAAAAGTAGAGTGAAAGGGGAGAAAGAAACAGAGAGAGACATGTTTTCATGTAATTTATATACCAGTTCCCCAAAAGGTCTCTTTCATAGTGGTGTCACTTGGAGTGATGAACACCAGCAGCTAATCCACTCAGGTCACACCAAAATAAAACTGGTGGAAGAAAGAATTGAGGCAATATGTGAAGATGTAGAAATAACATCTATGAGCATTTTAATGGTGCCCTGTTACTGCCAAAGAGGTAATATATGAAAAGCAGTTTTAATGTAATGCAGGAGGTTACAAGTGATCAGAAAAAATCAGTTGGGATTTTGCCACTCGCCTCCATGGGAGAAGGATCAAGGCCTCAGAGAGCTATTTAGTTGGCACTTAACTTTTAACAGCTGAGACAAATTTATTATTCACACGCATTACAGCACCAGTTTTGAAACATTACCAAACAGCACAAGAGAGGAAGTACTTGGTTTCTGTGGGACACAATCAGAAGTGTTATACAGATAATTGTGGAAATTAGGTAAGTCCACTACACTTCCAGGGTATGACATGACTGAAACATGTAGCTGTTCTAGTATGTCATAATTTTTCACTTCTTAAAAGAATTGTTGAACCTGATGAGGAACAGCTTGCATCGGGTCCCACTGATTTAATTTGTACATACTGTAATTTACTAGGCTGCAGTAAAAACAGTCATTTTGTGAGGCTATCATAAGCTCATTAGAAGCGTACTGGGAAAGCTTAATGGCTTACAACCCACAGCTTTATGCATCCATTTTACAGAGATCCCTTTTCAACAGAGCCTGACGCATGGTGTTCTATGCTGCTGGCACTACAGTAGTTTTCACACACACCCCAGAAAATTAGAGGTATTTGTGAATAACAAAATTAAAGACAAAGCCAACATTTCAGGAGTATTTTAAGTGCTGCTGGGACAAGGAAAATCGTATGTATTGTTAACCATGGTGAGGCTGGTTAGCTGTTAAGTATTGTATAGTGTAACTAATCAAAAGCTCTAACATCCCAGACAATGGAACAGAAATAAATACTCTCCCAGAGCTACTATTGTTTCATGCTCAGCTTTCTCAGGACTAATAGAGGGTTTAAATTTAAATTGTGTTAAGAAAATGTCAGTATTACAAAGAACTACAGCATTCAGTTGCTCTGAACACAGCATCAGGTAAACTACATAATGGATTTAAACATAATGGGCCAATGGAGAGTGAAGTACAAACAAACTCCTTTTCCATCTCCTTCTCCATTTGTTCTTTTTATTAGCCTCTAATGATTCAGGATGAAAAATAATAAAGGCACTTTGCCAAAAAGGAAGAAAAAAATAATAGAAGAAAGGAAAAGGGAGAGAGAAAATGCAGGGTATTCTGCATTCAATTAACTGAATTTAGAGGTGGGTAGATTTTAGCATCAAGTGGGCTGATGAAATGAGGTAGCCCCTCATCTGGATAAGAAGGAAAAAAAATGATCAGGAGAGCTCTGTTCATATTAGTGGGGCTGCTCTGTTTTGAAACCAACTAGTACTAGGATTCATATTAAGAAGCTTTTGCCTGTCATTCTCTTCCTGAAGGGCAGGGCACGCTACTCCTTTAAGATGCTAAGCACTATGGCTGCTCTTCAGGAAAGCACTTTAAACATATGCATGTTCTCCTGGTAGTCTGTAGGCCTCCTCTTCCACGGTAAATCATTGTTTTTTGCTGGACTAGAACCACAGTTCTTAGTGCTCAACAGATTTGAGCATATGACTGCCTCCATTTGCACATCATGGCTGTGTGAGCTGAGTTATCTGTATCTAGAATAAGTTAATAAAATGCCAGTTGTTTCACTTTGTCATGTTGAGCAAAAAAGTCATGGATATACAAACTTAACATTATGAAAAAGAGCATATATTTTCCCAGAAATATGTTTCCTTTAGTATTTTATACAATATTCTCTAATTCTGCAGATGTTTCTTAGTTACGTAACTGAGGGCTGAATCTCAGGTTGATTTTTCTGAGAAGCTGACCAAAAATTCAAGGGCAATGAGCCAAAAGCAAGACTCCTGGGGGACAAAGGTTGGCCCACGGCAGTGACACAAAGGGAATTGAATGCACCTAGTAAACCAGTATTTGAATGTTGGAGGTATTAAAAGTAGAATGCACAGAGGCATATTGATGCCTAAGAAGTTGACTGGTTTTGAGATACCAGTTTCAAGTTTACTTGGTTTTACCTTCAGTGAAGCTGAACTGGTAGGTGATCAACACCCACAAAATCTGTTAGCCCTACCTATATCAGAACTTGAAAGATATCTCTGCATTTTTGACCTTATTCTACAAAGACTGCCTCCAAAATACAGTGCTTCTGGGAACTGATAGACTTGAAAATGCTGACTGCTTGCACTACAGTGAGTTTTTTAGAACCATTTCTTATCATATGAGATTAATATTATTCAGTTGTAAATGAAAAAATGGGTTGGTACAGCACTTTCATTGTAGCTCTGAGTGCATGCTACGGTTATAGTGAAAATATCACATTCAGCATAAAAACTCTATTATTAATTTACTTCCTGTCTGCTGTATTCAAAATGTCTTTGTGATATTAAGTTCAACTTATTTATGATGTGAATTCAAGGACTCATCTAACCTTGGAGGTCAGCGGAAGAGATACATAATTTCTGGATCACAGCCTGTTGCATACTTGTATGTTATAATGTGAATATTTTCCATCAAAAAAAATGAAAGTCTGAGGCTTTCTGAGGTTGGCATCTTTGGTTTTGTGACAACTTCTTTATCAGTTTGAGTAAAGAATAACTGTGCACTACCTTAAACCAAAGCTTCCTAAAATTTGCCACAGTTTAGACTGTGTTTTGGGCTAAATGAAGAAGTAAAGATCTGGTCCTAAAATCTAAAAGTCTTAAAATTGATGGACTTTTCTGTTTGTTGTTCCATTTCCCTTCTCTCTGAGGCACTCGATGAAATAAAAAAGTGTGTTTACGTGAGTGTGCCTTATTTTTTTAATAAATAAAAGAAATCCAGTTAAAGTCCATTTAAGAATTTGCATACACATTTTCACCAGTGCAGTAAAGGGCATTTTAACTTTATGTCTTTCTTCTTTTTAGAACACATTTAACCATTCTCTGACCCAACACAATCCTTGACTGGTCTTTATGCGTGTACTCATTGGGCACACCGTGCACAGCATATTCGAACAACTATTTCCCAGAAAAACATGAATTACAGACACATAAAATTTTTGTGAACTGGGCTGTAAAATTTCTGATGCAGTATTCTCTATCTAACTTGACAGCTGGTATCTGGTCTGAAAATAGTGTATTTTTGCACAAATGCTAGCCATCCTGTTACTTTGCATTGTATAGATATGAAAACATGTATGGATAAGAAATAACCTGGGGAAAAAAAAAAAAAAGACCAGAAAGTCTTCTAGAATAATGGCAATTTTCTGACACTTTGGCATGAGCATTCCTTGAGTTCTGCTGGCAAATGTGTTCAAAGTGCTGTGTGGGCTTAACAATCGCCTAGACCAGAAACAAACATCATGGTCTGAATCTTCCACCTTTATTTTTTAAAAAGGAAGTCTTCTCTGAATAGTTTTCCTAAATAAAAGCTTGAGAATTGAGCCTGAAGTGTGTATGTTGAGGGACAGTGGATAAAGGATATGTTCTGCTGTACTCCAGACAAGACACAATGGAGTAAAAAATCTGAGGAACAAATGCTCTTGAAAGACAGTGTCAGAGCTGGGAGCTGAAGTGTGCAGTCACTGCTCTCCTTGCCTTGACAATAGGTCTGATGTGGCTTTGAATTGCATCCCTGAGCCAGGCTCCGCTTTACAGACATAGGATCATAGAATCATAGAATATTTAGGGCTGGAAATGGTTTGGGTGTGTGCATTGGTACAGAGGCTGAATTTCACCTGAGCCAGGAGGGCTCCTGCACACTCACTACACCACCTGTCAAATACGGCAGACCTAGAAGGGAGACTGCATGAGAGTTTGTAGTACCTACCTGGAGAGATGTTTTCCCAGAGTAGTGTTTTCCCATAAGAGATCACAGGTACTGCACCTTTTTGAATTACACTGGTAGAATGAAGAGCTGATGACAAACTGAATTAACGTGGTGCTCACCAACACTTTGTATAGTCTGGGAGGCTGTCAGAGAGATACTACTAGCCCAATGTAGGATGCTGGCTGTGGTTGCTCTGAAGTGACAAATAATAGGTGATTTTCTTAGATATCTCTCTTACAGTTGGGTGCAGCAGGATAAAGACCAGCCTCAAAGGGAATTTGATTTGGAACATCGTAATTAGTAATGTTGTTATGCTGTCAGGCTACCCTTCATGTAAATCATGGACAGCAAACCAGTTATTACATTTCTCAATTTGTATCCAGCAGTTTTCCTTTGAAATTACACAAAAAATAATGACTCCTGAATGCAAGGGAGAAGGCAGTATTATTTCTGGTGTGTTTTGGATTACAAAATGTCTGTTTGAATTATACTGAAGGAATGTATGTGTTTGCTGCTGTAAAGACTTGATTAAATAATGTTCTTGAGGGTAAGAAGAGTATGGGATTTTATAATTCAAGAAAACAGAGCAAAGAGTGGAGGAGGAGAAGAAGAATAAAAACAGATTTCTGGCTCCTACGTAGCATCTTACGTTAGTACCTATGCAGTGTGCCCCATGTCCTGCCTTCTTGTCTCATCTCCCTTCCCAGAAAAATAACTTGTTTCTGTCTTTTTTTTTTTCCTTTTTCAGTTTTAGGATTGAAGGATTAGGACCTGTGCAACCCCATATGAACTCATTCTCTTGTTTTCTTACCAGCATTCATCCCCATGAGGCAAATCCCCCCTAACAAACCCTTCCGTGAAGCTTTGTCAGTGACTGCCAGCCTGAGAAAGAAGATGATGATGAAAACCTCCCATCAAATAATATGTGCAAACAAGCAAACAAAACCACTCAAGGCTGCTTTGAGATTGAACTCTTGGAGCTACTTTATGTAAAATTTCCTGTTCAATGTGTTTTGAAATGAATGCCCCAATTCTTCAGGGTATGAACCATATCTTCTCTGTGCTATTTATAAACTAAGCTGTATAAAATATATCCCATTTTTTTAAAAGTTGGAAAATAATGTGATAAGTACCTGTATCTATCTACATCTATCTCTCTGCCTGAAAGCCCAATAAATGCAACTGTTATCATACCTACTGCCTTGTTACAAATAAACTCTGACACTGAAAAATATCACTGCCTTCTCTTACAGAACATCCTCAGCCTGTCTGTCTTCTAATCTGCAGGTTTCTAGGACAAGGAATTTTCTGATCCTGTGAGAATACATGAGGCCAAATGTTTTTCCCAGCTCATTAGGAATAAAAGAACAGAGAACACTCAGTATTTCTGGGGAAATGAAAACAAAAGAAACCCCACCCTACTGAAGCATATCGGTGAAAGCGTTTTTCTGTGTACTTTAAAAAAATCATTTAGAATTTAATATTTTTTCTTTCTCCTTTGAGCTATCTAAAGTGTGAATTAAAACTTGCCATTTAACAAAGAAAAGCTTTATAAATAATTCAGTTGGGATATTTTGACAATTTCAAATTTTTCCTGTTCTTTCTACCAAGCAGAAAATTGGCTACTGACAAGTCTTTCTCAGGAGACACTACTCTTAAGAAATCAACACTTTTCTTATTTTAAAAATGCTGAAGTATTTCTTCTCTGTCATGCAGGTCCTCCTAGCATTATCAGGCCTCTAATAAAGGTATCCATCATATCCCTTTGATGATTTCAATGGAGCAACCTCAGAGGAAGGACCTGCTTAGTGGAAGAGGGAGAGACTGTGGATGTTGTCTATCTAGGCTTAAGAAAAGAATTTGACACCATTTCCCAAAGCATTCTCCTGGAGAATTTGGCTACTCATGGTTTGGATAGGTGTACTGTTCACTGGGTGAAAAACTGGTTTGATGGCTGGGCCCAAAGATTGGTGGTGAGTGTAGTTAAATCCAGTTAGCAGCTAGTCACAAGTGGTGTTTCCAAGGGGTCAGTATTGGGGCCAGTGTTGTTTAATGTCTTTATCAGTGATCTGGATGATGGGATCAAGTAGACCATCAGTAAGTTTGCAGGTGATATAAAGTTGGGTGGGAGTGTTGATCTGCTGGAGGGCTTTTCAGAGGGATCTGGACAGGCTGGATCAATGGGCTGTGGCAAATGATATGAGGTTCAACAAGGCTTAGTTCTAGGTCCTGCATATGGGTCACAACAACCCCATGCAATGCTGCAGGCTTGGGGGAAAGTGACTAGAATGCTGCCTGGTGGAAAACAATCTGTGGGTGCTAATTAATGGCCCCAGTGTGCCCAGGCAGACAAGAAGGCCAACAGCATCCCGGCATGTATAAGCAAGAGTATGGCCAGCAGAACTAGGGAAGTTATTGTCCCCCTTGTACTCAGCACCTCAAATACTGTGTGCATCTCCTGGCCACCTCAATCCAAGAAAGACACTGAGGTGGTGGAGCATGCCCAAGAAGAGCAACAAAGCTAGTGAAGGTCCTAGAGCACAAGTCTGATAAGGAACAGCGAGGGAACTGGGGTTGTTTAGTCTGGAGAAAAGAAGGCTTAGGGGAGACCTTGCTTTCTTAGACTATCTGAAAGTAGATTCTAGTGGGGTGGGGGTTGGTCTCTTCTGCCAATTAACAGGTCATAGGACAAAGGGAAATAACGTCAAGTTGCACCATAAGTTTAAGTTGGATATTAGGAAAAATTTCTTCACTCAAAGGGTTACCAAGCACAGGAGCAGGCTGCCCAAGGAAATAGTTGAGTCATCATCCTTGAAGGCATTTAAATGATGTGTAGATGTGGCATTAGGGATATGGTTTAGTAGTGAACTTGGCAGTGCTAGATTAATGTTTGGACTTGATGATCTTAAAGGTGATTTCCATAGAATCATAGAATAGTTAGGGTTGGAAAGGACCAACCCCCCTGCCATGGGCAGGGACACCTCGCTCTAAACCATATTATCCAAGGCCTCGTCCAACCTAGCCTTGAACACTGCCAGGGATGAAGCATTCACAACGTCCCTGGACAACCTATTCCAGTGCCTCACTACCCTAACAGGAAAGAATTTCCTCCTTATATCCAATCTAAACTTCCCCTGTTTAAGTTTTAACCCATTACCCCTTGTCCTACCACTACAGTCCCTAATGAAGAGTCCCTCCCCAGCATCCCAATAGGCCCCCTTCAGATACTGGAAGGCTGCTATGAGGTCGCCACGTAGCCTTCTCTTCTCCAGGCTGAACAGCCCCAGCTTTCTCGGCTGATCTTCATATGGGAGGTGCTCCAGTCCCCTGATCATTCTCGTGGCCCTCCTCTGGACTTGTTCCAACAGATCCTTGTCTTTTTTATGTTGAGGACACGAGAACTGTACACAATACTCCAAGTGAGGTCTCACGAGAGCAGAATAAAGGGGCAGGATCACCTCCTTCCAAATGATTCTATGATTCTGTGAAGTTTGTTCTTTTGTTTGGTTATTTCATCTGACAATAGAATTAGTTTAAACAGTTCCAATGATGGTTAATAGGCACTGATCTGCTGATGCCCTCAAACAGGCTTTGTCAAACTTTGTATTTTGTCAGGCACAGAATGGATCAGAAAAGATACCTTAACTCTTGAACAGTCTCCCTGCTTGCTTGTTCTTCTCAAAACAGCCAGGAGCAGGGCCCACAGGAAAGTGCCCAAAAAGGCCCAGGGAACTAACCTGTTCAGGTACTTCACATCCTCAGACACAGTAAAAAGATGAACTTTAAAGACCCTATTTATAGGCAAGCTCTTGTTGCTCTGGACTGTTCTAGAAAAATTAATGTTATAAATATTTCAAAAATATTCATTAAACAAGTATTTTTCTTTCTGAATTTTCAGAGATGTGTTTCAGGTCTAATTCTGGTTCTTGGATTTTGCAGATCCTTTCTGAGTAAAGTCTTAGGCAACTGCCAAAAATCTAGGCAAGGTGCTGATCTAGAAGAATGTGTTTATTTTGCTCTCTCATTGTAAGATTTGAGTGCATTGAGTGTACTCACTTCTTTGCAATCTCCTCTTACCAAGTATGCTGTCTGCAGGAGACAATTAGTTGAACAGAACATTCATAATTAAATTGCTCAGTGGATCTGTTCCGGTTTTTTTTCTCTTCTTAAGTTTTGCATGGAAATCCTATTTTTAATGAAAGACGATTTGAAAATGCAGAGAAACACAGCAAAATACCCAACAGTTTATTTTAGCAGAAAGAGGCTATGATGTACACTATCATTACTGGCTTTTCTGATATTTCCAACTGAATTAAAATAATGAATAGTTGTTTAGTACATTTGCTTTGATTAAGTCTCTGGCTTATGACACTTCACACAGAAATAGACTTTATACTGCTGTTAACAGTAAATATTGATGGCACTCTTGTCCACTAATGCAGTAAGTAGACCTTAAGGTTTGCTGTATACCCTCTGACTTCAAGGAAAGTCATAAAAAAGTCGTAAGATCCTTAAACATGTGCCACATAGCTATATGAATTGGAGCACAGTTCTTGAGGTCTAGATGTATTTTTCTTATCTTGAAAAATTGTGTTGCTATAACAAGTTGCTCTTTATTCATTCATCTATATTATTCTGGTACCTAGAAATGTCTCCCAAAGTATGGGTACCAATTTAACAGGCAGTCTGCACCTACCAAATAAAATATAGTCCTTTCCACACAGTTTTCAATTTCAATAAAGCATGTATGAGAGAAAGGAAAATTACAGCAAAAATGGCATTATCATTTTTTGTCAAGGAACTGAGGCATAGCCATCACTCTCAGAAAGTATTTAAATTCAGCCTAGAAAGAGTAAGTACTTGAATGATTCTGGAGATTTTAAAGTTGCCTTGGCAGTAAAATAGGCCTGCATAAACCAAGATTGTGCTGGACTTGGAATTCCAAGAGTTATAAACATTTCTCAGTTAATGCAGCATTAAAACTGTGTTACTTATGACTGAATATGTTTATACAACCCTCATCCTGCTACCATTCAACTTTCCAGAAATTGACTTTGCAAATGTAATGTTCTTTTAATAAGCTTCTCATATGTAATCTAATACTGAAAAAAAAATTGCAAAAAAAAAATTATGTTAATGCTGGCAATAGAATCTTTATAATTGGTTAACTTCTCCTTCATTTACTTAACAAGGCATTTACTTGTTTATATTAAAAAGCTGCATCATGACAGAATACATCATATGAAATCTGAACGCCAAGGAAGATGAAGATATTTTTCTCCATTGGCTTCTCTGAGAGCAGGATTTTGCACAACAGAGTTTTAGATTCAAGAAAGACAGGAAGGTATAAAAATCAGATACATGTCTGACTTTGAAAAATCTCCTCTCTGCTAAATAAAAGAAAAAAGAGAAAAAAAGAAAAGGAGGGAGCAGAGCAGCCTCAAGTTTTAAAAAACTAATTCTCCAGAAGTTCCATAAAACAAGAAATTTGGATTCTTAATGTGGCTGAATTTTAACTGTAAAGCTCATCTATTATCTTTATTCTTAAGTTTCAATTTATACATAAACTGGATAAATATATAAAATTTCTTTTTAAATTGTGTGATAATTAATTTCATTATTGCTCCACATTCTCTGCATAGCTGTACTAGTTGGATATTCTGCCTCATAACTGCAGTTCCAGGCAGATAATTAGCACCAGTTACTTATGTCCATTTCTAGCTTTTAGATGACACTTTCTATGACAGAGCACACCCATACTATGTGTAGCCAACAGCGGGATTGTGAATTTGGTATAATGATGCACACTTTTATGGATCAGGCAAGACAAAGATGTATGCCTACTGGCTTCACCACCCCAATGAACAGCAGGAATCTTTGAAGTCAGGCCAACAGCATGCCAAAGTTATTTTGCAGGGACAATAACAGCACAAAGTAATATGTAACAATACCCACCCAGAAGAAAAACTTTAATGGATGTAAGATGTGAAGATTTAAGGTCTCCTCAGAGATGTTACTGAGCTCAGAAGAGCTGTATTCCACTGAGTGGGATACTGGAGAAAGAGTCAAGCCTTCTGAGATTAAGCCTCCCTTCTTCTGTCCTGCAAGTTTTCAGACTCATTTAGGGATGCAAATTGGTGGAATTTTTGCTTAAAGCTTTTCTATCTGTGCATAACCTTACCAGAACTGTGGGTTCTTATCTTGTTCTGCTGGAAAAACAGCTCTGGTTTTTGT